AACATTGTTTTCAAACCCTCCTCCCTTGCCTATCTGTCTTTACCCAGATGACCCATCTCACCTTTCCTGGGGCTGAAGTTGAGTAGCAGCAGGGTCAAAGTTAGGGTTAGCTCCATTCCCTTCATGCTGCTTCTAGCGAGTTTAGGCTGTGTAGGGAACCTCTGAAAACCCACTCCGTGGGGCACAGCCTTTTAACTGGGACAGGTTTGGGGGAGGCGTGGAGTTCCCCTGTACCTAAAGTCTGACTGAAGAAGGCATTCTTGGAGCCTCCACCCTTTCCTGTGGGTCAGGGTGTGGAAGTTCTGTTTCATTCCCTAGAACTCCTCCTTATCACCCCTTCAGTGGTAGAGTGGGGAGGGGGGGACCCTCAGGCATCAGATGAGTCATAGGCAGGTGGGACTCAGGTTCTTTCCTTTATGGTCCAATGACAAAACATGACCTCTGACTAGTCACCTGGGAGTCCATCTCTCCCCTCCCAGCAGTTCTTTCAAGGCAATTAGATGATGGTGATCTTCCAAGGTCATTGTGGCTCACTTCCATACAGTATAGCTCCTCCAGAAGTTGATATCTCCATCCTGAGTCCCCATCCCCATGTCCCTCTGTGTGCCTTTTCCTCGGCTAACTTCAGGTTCTCCCCTTTAGTGGGGACTTGAAGTCTAGGGCTAGGAAAACACAGGCTTTTTGGTCCTGGGCCTGTTGCTAATAGTTTTCTGGGCAAATTTTCCTCCCATGGCCTGAGCCACTTCTGGCTTCTTACCAGATTACTGCATTTCTTTTGTTTTCCTTATTCCCTGATGAGAGGATTTGCTGTGATTGAACACAATGGTGAGAAGGGGATAAAAATGGGGAGGGATTTCTACAGTCATAGTGAATCAGGATCACTGTGACATCCATTAGTGCATTCAAAATGATATTCAGTCACAGGAAGTGCCTTGTATTCGTGAGCCCCTATGAGAGGAGGCTCTGGATGGGAAACAATTGACACATATGTGGATGCAAACTGAGGTTAATAACAGATCTGGCAGATCCTTTTCTTCTCCCACCCTTTATTTCTTGCCCCAGCCTGTTTCTCTTATCAGGAAAAAATGACTTAGCATAGCAACTTCTACTAATTAGACATAAACTTGAGCTGATTCCCATCCTTTCCTGATTGCTAATCAGAGACAATGGGAACAGGAGACAGATTATAGAACACTACTTCAAATATTATTTTCTGGAAGATTGAATATGGTGGTTCTTCTGCCTTGTCCCTAAGCTCCAACCTTACCCCCTCCTCCAATAGCCTGTCGCCAAGACCATCTCGTCTTTCCTCAAGATGTGGAAAGCTAGTGGAACTTGCTCTCTAGATTCCCGAAGTTGGAGGGCTGTGAGGTTTAAGGGAGACAAGGGATGACAGTGATTTTAGTTCAGTGAGATAACTTTGAGGGAGAGAACTCGATTTGGGCCCTCTCCTGGAATCCAGGCAAGGACACCAGGGATCTAAGCCCTTGGAGCTTTTGGCTTGACGTCCTGGGGACGCCTGAGTGGGAAGGGGAGAATATTCTTCCATTCTTGGTGTAGCAAAGAGGGTGGGTCCAAGAAGAGATAAGGGTTAAGTTGATGCCAGGTTAATCATAGAGGCACACCACCTTAGGAAAACCTGAGTTTCTTGCCTTGTCCTGTCCCCTGGAATGTGTCAGCCTGAACAAGGAGATATGAGGTTCTTAAAAGGACTTTGGACCCCCAACCCTGACCCTAGTCAAGACCTTCTACTCAAAACCTATGGCTCAGGAGCTCAAGTACTTCTCATATCCATTTCTAATGAGGAATGGTTGAAAGACTTGAGAATGTTCAACTTGAAAAAGATAAAACTTAGGGAGACATTGTAAGAGCTAAAAAAGGGGGGAGGATGGGGATAGAATTAGACACCTTGTAGCTCCAGGCAAAACTAGGACAAATGAGTGAAGGTTAAAGGTAGATTTCTGCTGAATAAATTCCTTACAATTACAGTTTTTAAGAAAGTGAAATATATTTCCTCCTGATATTTCTCATCAATGGAGTTGATTAAACAGGCAGTAATATCAGGACATATAGGAATTCATGGGTTAGGTAAGATCTCTAAGATTCCTTCCAATTCTGTCTATATCTAGGTCAGGTTAATGACCAGCTGTATAGGGCATCGAATGAGGGTAACTAAGGTAGGATAGTGCACCTGCACCTCGGGATGGATTGAGCTTTTCATTAAGCCCAGAAACCTGGATTTCAAAGTAGTCTGGATTAGAATTTGAACAATTAAGAACCATGTGTTTTGTAAGTTGTGTGTACTTCGACTGTGTTCATCTGTTTTTACTTTAGCCTCTTAGTAATGATCACTTAAAAAAACAACAACAACAACAAAAAACTTTAAACCAAAATAGTTTTCCAGGAACTGAGTAGAAAAAAGGTTGGTTTGCTCCTTGTGGCCGTCGCTGGTAGTGGTTGCAAGTTGTCAATACCGGGGCTAGGGAATGAATAGAACTGTGTGGTACCAGTCCGTTGTAGACGTGTTTCATTTCCCCACACTTTATAGAATTATAGGATTTAGAACTGGAAGGGCCATTAAAGATTATCTAGTTCAACCCCCTCACTTTATTGATGAAGAAACTGAGGCCAAAAGAAGTTCCTCACTCAGGGATTCCGTGACATTGTCTATTTGCTAATAGAAATCCCTGATGGTGGTTCACAGATGGAGTGCTTCTGATGAATTTCACGGATGGGTCGCAGGTACTAATTGGGGATCACTGATGAGGGCGATTGGTGATACTGGTTGGTGGCCCCTTGAAGGGGGATTCCTGATACTGATGAGGTGTCCCTGATGAGGTCAACGACATTGATTTGGGGAGGAGGGGGGACTGCTGCAGCTCGAAGGGGTAGGAGAAGAGTGAAAGAAGAAAGGTAACGATTCTCTCAAACCCACAGCCTTCCCCTTGGGGTAAGGGAAACATAAGCACCAAACCCAGTCCGCACACATGGTGGTTCCCTTCCTCTTCCCTCCCCCCACCCAACAGCGGCAGCGGCAGAGACTGGCTGGCAGAGTCAGGATCCAGGTTAAATCCTTTACTCCACGGCACTGCTGGGGAGCGGCTGGGCCCCGGCCCGATAGACTGATGCTTGCTGGGTCCCCCGGGGCGGCACTGCCGGATGGCGGGGACTGCTTCGCCTGGAAGGGTGGGGGCCCAAGCCCCTGGACAGGCAGCTCACTAGCCGGGGAAGGGGTTCCAGCTTCTGCCTCTGGGGGGGTGCTGCGCTGTGGAGGGTTCACCGGCAAGGCTCCAGAGGCCTGGACTGGAGGGGCACTGGGGGCGGGCTAGTTTGGTAGTGAGGGGCGGGGCCAGGCCACATTCCGCCCTCCCCCCGCTATGCCCGCCCTCCCCCCGCTATG